GTTGACGAGCACGTAGGACGGCCTTACGTAAACATATCACTAGAATGATTACAGTTAGGAGGAACACTTATTTTTGATGATCCACCTGGAAAAAGAACATCCTCCACTATATCTTTAATTAAAACTTTAAATTAAAAAGCCCGAGGTGCATTGCAGTACAATATTGGGAAGTCAGAAAAGAGGTCTTATTAACTCTGATGTTAAAGTGAATTTCAGATCCTATTTATTTTTTCCATTAAGTCCTAAAGGCTGTTTTTTTTGTTTTGGACGACTGTTAAATCAGTTGTCCTGTTCAGATAATTTACAAACACTATTGGATAATAGTTTAATCTAAATGCAGAGTGGTGCTCACATGTGTTATGAAACAGTGTTGTTAATAAAGCTCTTTCATCATCGTCTCATTCCAAACCAAAATGGCTGCCTGCATCAACATCTAGCTCTGTCATGCCTTCATGTTGTACCCCCTTTTATAAGCCACTCCACTGTGTAGTGCTTACCCTCCTCTAGTGCAGGAATGAAGGGCAGAAAAATCCCCCAATTCTCCAGCTTCGGAGAAAAAAAACAGTTAGATGACCTTGCCTCTGACTTCTGCTGAGTCAGAAATTGAGGGGGGTTGGATAAAAGGGGATGCAGGGAGAGGGAGAAAGAGGTAAGGAAGAGGGAAAAGAACAAGAAGATGATTGCTCCCCAACTGATTTAAATGCAAGGAAATAGGTTTGATGTTGGACACAATGTTTCACATTATTCCTTATAGGGGCTTATTTTTTGACTTGAAAATCAGCACAGCAAAAGAATGGTGTTCTGGAGAAAAGCTCATTCACACGTGTTGCAGTAGACATAGGAATAGAAATGGTCTGGGGTACGGAAGAGTTTGCCCGCACCATGTAGTTAATGAGTCAGAGCTGTGGATGAGTCGTATGTCACAAGATTCAGAAGTCATTCGTCTGCGTAGGTTTTAGGAAAATATGCCTATGTCAGACTGAAATAGAACAGAATGTGTCCGTGTGTCCTTATGCCAAATATAGTCCGGAAACTCAAGTACTTTATCTCTCTCTCTCTCTCTCTCTCTCTCTCTACATATATATATATATATATATATATATATATGTAGAATCTAATATATATATATATATATATATATATATATATATATATATATATATATATATATATATATATATATATATATATATATATATATATATATATATATATATATATATATATATATATATATATATATATATATATATTAGATTCTACATATATATATATATATATATATGTAGAATCTAATATATATATATATATATATATATATATATATATATATATATATATATATATATATATATATATATATATATATATATATATATATATATATATATATACATATATATATATATATTAGATTATTGGTTATCAGTTTCTCCAGAGCAAAAGAAATCAGGTTTTCCTGTGTGGCATTTAAAAAAATTCCCTTAATGAGATTTACTCCCACAGAAATGATTAAAGTCAGGTGATGCTGGAAAAAAAAACCTGGCTTAAAGACAATTTTACAAGCTCCTCACTTGGATGGTTCTGTTTGGTTTTTCCTTCTTACATATTCTTTATACTACTCCAGATATTTATAAATGCAATTGTTATTTTAAACAGTAATTTCAAAGATTCTAAGCTATTTAGATGTGCCATTACTACAATTTGGGTTTTTATTTCCTGATATTTGCTTTTTTTTTTTTTTTTTTTGCTTAAATAATTAGTAAACAGATCTTAGTTTTACTTAAAAAATGTACACATTAATTACATAATCCTGATAGCTTTTCATATAATACCTAATTAAACCGTAAATATCATTCATTCAAATTTGGATTTAAAAAAATGTGCTGAATCACATTGCATTCATGAGATATTTTTTTAAAAAAGAATAAAAAAGACAGAATTGCAAAATAAAATACTACATTGAGAACAGGCAGTTTATATTTCATGTGCTGTATTTCAATTTTGCATTGCAAATTTGCTCTCTAATTTGTGATAAGCCACAGTGTACATAAAAAAAGAATAGACTTATTGAAATACCGCTCCTACTGCTTGAAATGTCAGTTCTCACGCTATATTTGATTTAGACTTCTGTAAAAAAAAAAAAAAATACATGTTGATTTAATATTATGACAAATTAATTGAAAATATTGAGCATTCATTTGTATCATCGCTGGATCTTCAATGATCTATTTATCTATCTGTCTGTTCATGCTTTCGTGAACATTAATACCTATAGGAAATATAAATAAAGTTTAAAGAAGGTTACAGTGAAGTAAAACAAAGTCTTACACTAACATTAAGGGCTAAAACCAAGAACACTATTCAAATAGAGGCCATAAGTCCAGGATATGGATCTGAATTTTCAACATTAAAATAAATGACTGCCTGTTGTCCAAAACCATTAAGCACATATAAAGTGAACCTATAAACAGCTACAATTGAGGTTTATAAACAGGGATCCATGGAGTAATTAGTCTCTTTGCGTCTATGTGCGCGTACATGTGTGAAGGTGATCCTAGCTAATCCGGTTTTATAAACGTCTGACATAATCTGTGTTCCACTCTCAAAGTCCAGGACAGGGAGATGTGAGGAAAAGAGACCGAAAGAGAGGAAAAGAGAGGAGGGGAAGACAATGATGTGGGAGCTGACATGGCAGCAGAGAGATGATTGAAAGGCAGATGGGTTTAAAGAAGATGACAGAAACGAAGCATGTGAAGAGAGGTGGAGGGAAAGGAGGAGGGTGGGGCGAGGAAGAAATAAGTGAGACAAAGATGAAGGAGGACAGAACTGGGCGGCTGGTGGAAAATTCCTCTAGGATTTAGTGAAACAGGACTGTTAGTGGTGGTTTGGTTATCATACGAGAGCAAAGGGGTCATAGGTAAGATGGTTTGTAGGTAGGCTTGTGAAGAAGGCAAAAAGGCTGGAGTCTCTTTAAAGAATGGGTGTTTGTCGAAAACAGACACTGAAAAAAGTAAGGCCAGAGAAAGATTTTGATTTTTCAAATGAAAAATTAGCTATTTTTCTCCCACAGATAAATCTGTAATCACACATTAATATTCTGAGATGTATTTCACCATCTTTTCCTCATTTTGTCCTAAACCTCATGTCGATTCTTAGAATACTATTACACAGACTAACACAGGTTTACAATACATATCTGAAAATTTTCTTTTACCTGTGCCTTCAGAAATCACTTCATTGGTGAAAAGAGTCCACCGGTATGTAGGTTCATCTTAAAAATAAAGCAATTTAAATGTTTTCTTTTAGAAAGCCTTAGCAAACAAACAGCATCATAAAGATAGAGAAACACTCCCAGTTTAAAACAGGGCTAGGTCAAGAAACACTGCCCCAGATCTGACATTAAATAGTTTAAAGTTCAGCCTAACCTTTTAGCAAAAGTCCATTCAAGTGCGACCTGGTGGCCATTTGTGGCCCACGTAGGAGTTTAGGTGCTTCTTTATCAAGAACTGCTAAATTCAGGTTGGCCACTGATGCTGATCCCCTAACAATTGCTGAAAAAAAGGTGCAAGACATCATTTTTTATCTGCTATTCACAGTAATGATGAATTTTCTTTAGTCATGACAACAACTAAGACGATATTACAGGAGTGGCAGCCTAGTGGTTAGGGCATAGAGCTTGGAATCCTGAGGTTGTGAGTTCGAAAACCCACTCCAACAGACATCCTCTCTGAGCGAGACTGATAACCCCACACTGCTCCCTGGAGGCCCCATGATGGCAGCCCACTGCTCCTTAAGGGGATGGGTTAGATGCAGAGGTAAATGTCTCCATTGTGAGATCAATAAAGTTAAATTATTATTATTTTGGAGACTTCTTTTGTTTCTTAGGATGCTCTCCACAAAAATTAATGAACTGATTCACAAATCTGCACAGCCCTGAAGCCTATTTGAACATATAACCTGTAAATGATATACAAGTCATCTCCCTTGTAGCTCCAGATGTCTATCTAGTCTGAATTTATGACCTGTCCTATTTCTATCGTCCCTGTTACCTCCTCTTTCTGATTCCCTTCATCCTCTTAATGCACCTCAGCCACTGCAGCTAATATCTGCCTTCTACCTCATATCAGCTGAAAAACACTCACAAAATAAGTCAGAACATCATGTTCCTCATGAAAAGTTGTTATAGCGTGTAATAATGGCCATTAAACCCAGAAATACTATTATGATGTCTGCTCTTAAACCTTTCATTCATAGCAATAAAACTCCTTAAACTCTGCATCAAGCTTTTAAAGCAGGAATTCTAATTTAACATTCTTCCTAAATCTGCTTCTGTGATCTCCTTTTTTCTTGTTTAAACCAATCTTTTCAAGTGTTTATGAAAATAATGTCAACCTGTTTCATTATTACTGAAAGCCACCGATATATTTATGATATCTGATTAAAATCTCCCCTCTAATGAAGTTTCTTAAGCTCATCTTTTGGAAAACGTTCAGTTTTCAGTCTGTTTTCAAGATAGATTTTTTCATTTCTGTGTGATTGTAAAACTTTATTACCTTTGGCAAGAAAGAATGAATTCAGTCCCATATGGCGGTTTGAGTGTTTTTATTATTATATAAAAAAAAAACTACAAGCAATAATTTCATAGACCTTGGTGGAGAGGTGCATGGAGTGATGAGCTAGAAATCCGATGGTTTTGTTGTTCTCACTGTAAGAACTGAATGTAATAAAGGATGAATCCTTCCTGCAACCATTGCCTCCAAAAAAAAACAGCTTAATGTGATCTGAGATGTTTCATGGATGCAAGTATCTGTACAAAAGGCATTAGGAAACACAAAACAGTTTGCACCATTTGTGGCTTTTAAGAGCCACTCTCCTCATTATCTGTTGCAATATATGCCCTGATTGCTTTCACATGTTCTTTGCTGAGTTTTTTTTTCTGATGAGACGCCCTCAGTGCAGCTGTTTTCTGAATTTGTTAGCTTGTTTTATTGCTTGTTTGAAAGAATACAGAAAAACTGACATCAATTTTTTCTGAGAACGCCAGTGAAAAACTCTGATAGAGGCAAAAGTTGCATGGAAAAAAACATAACTTAATATAATAACTAAATATCTTAAATAGTTTGATTTAGTAAGTAGTTTTGTTTTTGGTGTAAAGAAGGAATATGTAGGAAATCTCTGCAAATGATGTACAGAGGAGAATGTATATTTCCATAGGTCTGCACCTCTCTGTTTATTTCAAATATAAAAACAGAGTCTAGACATTTCAAATAAAGATATGTTGGTCTGGTTTATTTAAATAAGAATAAACAGGTCATCATTCGGGGAGATATTTGGTTGGGGTTTATCCTAGACAGGTGGCTTGTCCATCACAGCACCAGTAAGATAATGATCTAATAAAATGGTGGAAACTGAAATATTGAGAAAAAATAGATTATGCAACTGCAAAAACATAAATGAATTGTTTCTTATTTCTAACCTTTTATGCCAGCAGTTATGGAGGCCAACATTTCCACGTGTCTGAATGAGTTTTTCTTTAATTTATTTCTGTGTTGCGACAAAATGCTTAAAGTGGTTTTCATCAAATACCCCAGCGTTACATTGCTTTGTAAATGAGGTCCTCAGGATGAAGAGAAAATGGCTTTTGGATGTTATTATAACTTAGCAGATTAGCAGAAAGGCTTTTCACTAAGCATGGGCAGTCTAGAAAACCTATTAAAAGGTGCCTCGGCTTTTTTATCCCGGATCCTTTCATCACTTTTCTCTTATTATATTTTACCAGCCACCCTGAAATCATGTTTCAGTCCAGACGACACATTTTACTCAATCTGTTCTGTGTTGTGGCCATTTTGCTGACTGTCTCTGTGCTTTGTGTGTTCAGTGGCTTATAGTGTGCCACTTATTCTGAGGAAATATCTGCTCACTTCACACAATGCTAGTTTTATTGTCAGTATGGGTCAAGTGTTTCTTTTCTGGCCCTGCACACTGGGACATATTTGCAGCCCAGCATATTTAGTCATCGTGAAAGGTAACCTGTCGTGTGGTGAGAGGAAGCAATCCCAACCTGATTTTGGAAACTAGATTGTGAGCATGTAAGAAATAATGTCAGCTTCCTGTGTTCCCTGGAGTGCTGGATGAACTGATAACTGCATGTGAGTCATTTGTAGGTGTGTGAAGGGAGTACAGTAATCAGCCTAAGGAGTGATGGGAACGGTGACAGCTTTGTGGCAGAGCTGAAGTGGAGCCATGTGCACCACAGGGGAACCGGCCCTTTAATGCCCATCGGCCAATCAGACAGGGGGATGCTGGGAGCGTCCTTGGGAATGACCTTGCAGGGGGGCCAAGGGATGGAGAGAGGCGAGAAGACTCAGAGGTGTTGAGTAAGAGAGGGAACGAAGGGCTGGAACACTGAGTACTGGAAGGTGGGAGGAAATCTGAGAGAAAAAATAAAAAACGTAGCAAGATATCAGCTCTATTCATTCGAACCACAAAAGCAATTTACTACTACATGAAACAGACACAGGGGTGGAATAATGAGGAGATGCAGACAGGCAGCAGACAGATGAATGAGAGATATTTCGTTTTAGGAGCATAAGAGGATTTAAAGTTCAGCCAGTTCTGCCAAACTCCACCCCTCTCTCTCTCTTTCTCTCTCTTTCCGACTCAGTGACACACATGCAGACGTCACCCAGATTAAATTGACAGCATTTCACTTTCCCGCATTGCATAAGAAGCGCTTTGCAAAGGATGAAACAGCAGAGTAAGAGTCAAAATGTAAAAATTAAGATGCAGACTTAATTTATGGGGAAGATTAAGTAAAAAAGCAAGAAAGAAGATTAAGTTCTTTCCCTGTTTGTTAAAGAAAAGGTCACAGAAAGGAAAATGTTGACCCAACAACAGGAAGATCTCTTGTATGAGGTTTAAAAAATTGAGATTTGCAGGATTAAACAAACTGCAGTAACCAGTCTATTAACTGATCAGGTAGCACTTCCACCAAAGTTATTATATGTAAATGCTAAAGAGAGAAGTAATTTTTTATTCTCTGTTTTTATTTTCTCTTTGTAGCAGATTAATCTGGTCTGGCACTCTAACTGTGATATGACCCTGAAGGGAGGCATCAGCTTGGCTGCTGCAGTCAACATCTTTATTTAGGTGATAGCAGTGGGCCTGTTTTTCAATGTTTAATCCTGTCTCTCCTGGACGTAGCTATGGGCTCAGCTTTTACGGTGTCTATATGTGTTCTTTTAATATTGTTTTTACATGAAATTCAGATCAGAGCTTGTCTGCTTAACTGTTTCTCTCCTAGACAGTCCATTTATTTATAAATCTGTGCTTCCATGTTTCTTTTGTTTGTTTGTTTCTATCTTCTCTAATTCCTATACGGCCTCGACAGAATGCCATTTAGGAATATAGTTATCTTCCTCTTTAAAAAGAGTTTTTCCTCTCCACTATCCTAACATGCATGCTCTGTGTTAGGGACTGCTGCACAGTCAACTAGAAAATGCTGTTGCCATGTGCTCATTCAGGTGGAGCGAATCCTGCTAAGTCAATGACTCGATACAATCATCTGGTTTTCCTTAAAAAGACAACTTGAACCATATGACTGTAAGATTTGATTTAATTTTCTCATTAAAGTGTTATTAGATGACATGTGAATTGGTGCTATATAAATAAACTGAATTGAATTACAATAACATATTCATCATTTAATTTGCCCTTAGCTTAGATGTTAGCAATTGAAGCACAATGTGCTTGTTATTAGGGTTAATTTTCTGTTACAGACCTCTTCCTTTCAGAATCAGGGCAGCTCAGTGTGGTTAAGCATGTGGCTGTTCTTGCTGATTTTTAGGCAAGGGAGGCATGTGAGGTGTTATGGGCCTTACTAATAACTAGGATGGAGAGATAGGTGCCCTCTGCAGCTGTCTGACACATACCATTGCAGCTGGATTCTGCAGCACTTGCTTTCTTTATTCGACATGTGAACTTCCAGGGGAATTTTCTAGATCCTCAAAAAATATATGTCATTTGGTTTTTGGAGGAGTTCCACCTTGGTGGATGTGGATCCAGAACACAAATGCATTGTGGATAAACAGAAAAGATTTTAAGGAACATAACCATTTGTCATCTCCTGAACTTTCTTTACCTATAACCTTTATTTTTATTGAAGTGCAGTATGATTGTCACTTTCAGACGAATAATTAGCATTTTGGGTAAATGTCAACAGAAGTATCAAACTTATACTTTAGAAAATATTAAATAGTAAAGTGTCTGTAAGAGCAAGTCCTAAAGATAATGGTGAATTTGAATGGAGAAGTGTTGGCCAAGAGGTTAGAGCAGAGTGCTTGTGCTCGGGGAAAGTTGCAACTAACTGGATCAATCCCCACAGCCTCCACTCTGGGTTCTTGAGCAAGACCTAACCCTAACCCTTAACCTTACTGCTCCCCAAGCGCCACACAATGGCAGCCCAGTGCTTCCCAAGGGGATGGGTTAAATGCAGAGATTGAGTTTCTCCATTATGAGATCAATAAAGAGATTTAAAAACTGCCTTTCTCCTGCCAAGATTTTAGTGGGCAGCTGTAAAGAACAACACCAATACAGACTTCCAGGTATTCTTTACCAAAATCAATCCAACAATGGACTATTTGTCTTTCTAGGTACTTTTCTGGTAGAATGGCATGAAAAAATATAAATGTGTCCTGATGTTGCCTATTCTTGTCACAGTGAATCTTTTGACCCCTGAACTAAATTTGATCCCAACTTAAGCAGCTTCCCTACCCTGTATGTCAGGAGCCACTCTTAAGCCAGAGAGTTAAAGGCTTCAGCCGGGATGAGAGCAGTTTCTGCATCACTGATGTCTTCATAAGATCTGTCTGCGTCCTCTCGTTGATATTTGACATCATCATACTCCTCAGAAACATGCTAGTCTGAATGACTAGCTTTCTTCCCTTTGCCTCCTTTTTCACCAAAAATATGATTCATAGCTTCAATTTTGTGAATGTTCTTTTTGCATGACGATGTGAATTCTTCAAGTGACTCTAAACTGAATTTTGCATGCATGTCTAGCATGTCTGGGGATGCTTTTTAGTTCACAAATGGGGGGAAAATAATCCCTGACAGGATTCAGGTTTGTATGAAAATAATGTCAGATTGTTGAGGGCTAACAGTGTTAGTGAAGTAAAAGTGTTTCAGTTTGGGAAGAAGTAATTGTTTTAAAACTGCTAATAATAAAAGGCTCGCAACTGGACCCAACCCCACAAAGGTCAGATTTTAACCAGTTTTTTTAGGATTAAATAAAGAGGGAGGTTTTGGGCATTTGTGGTTAATGAAGAGCTGATTAATTCAAATCATTGAAGTACTTTTATCTTGTGTTTTGATTAATTTTAAAACCGAGGGGTCAATGGCCACCTCAACATCTAAGGAAGGCTAGAAAAGCTGCAGAGACCTGCTGCTCTGGGGGAAGTATCTGTTAGCATGTGGTGAGCTTCCTAAATCTCTCCTCTGTAGAGGAGTCGCAAAATGAAAGCCTTTGGTTAAAAGAAAACCATTAGAAGTCGGTCACAAACCATCAGAGGAAACGCATCAAACAGGTGTCAGTTGGTTGTGGCAGAATCATGCTGTGGGTATTATATCTAAGTTTTTTTTATATTACAACAGATTTGAGTCTGTTTTATTTCTTATCTGTGTTTTGACAAATGACTCGGAGTGTATTAAATGGGCTCCAGCTGGTCAACGTTGTTTATAATAACATCGTTTTCCTAAAATAGACCATGAGTAGATTGTTAGAAATTAATCTAAATGATCTCAAATGTTCCTAAGGAGGGTGGTACAAAAACTTGCATTGTCTCTAAGAGCAGAACTGCAAAGGTACCATGAAATGGCTCGATCCCAAAAACAAATGCTGGGGGCCAACCAGATGCATTGTCTAATTTAACCTTTTCTTCCATTTTTCTAAGTCAGAAGGTAAAATATTTAGAGGAACACTGAACAGGAGCTTCTTTAGGGTGATCCAGACCAGGCATGTAGCATATCCTGCCTTTGTCCATTAATATATGTTCATTCAGTTAGATCAACATATAGGAATACATTTAAGGCAGTAGAAGCGTACCACAATATATTTCAATATGTTATTACTTGTCAGTGTTTTTGTGCCTGGAACATGCGACCCAGTTTGTCTGTAACTGGGTCCAGCTCCAGCTGTACCCAATAAGTCAGGGTGATAGAGTACCACTGTAACATTGTGATAGTCAGGCAACCTCAGCAATATTTTACCTCAAATGAATTCCCACCTCGCCCTTGCAACTCCTCCTCTATGCAGTCTATTTACTCAAGCACAGCTAAAATGTATGGGCTTGCAGAAACAAAATATAATGCCTCTGTACTAAGAGTGCTAATTTTAGAAGATTATTTTTCTTGTTTGTGTCAAGTGCAGCTTCTGTATGCTTGTGTGTGTGTTTCTATATCATCTGGCCTCTAGGCCTGTCCACTGGATGTGCATTCATGCCCTTATCTTGAGCACTGCTCTGGCAGAAAGGGGCTGCTCTGTGCTTGTTACTGACTCTCCCAGACCTGCTTCCTCTGGTTGGACTAGATGTCTTTTTTAACGGGTTCTTCGCTGTCATGGTTTTGGTTCTGTTCCAGTTTTATCTCAGAGTTTTCATTTGTCTTATTTCCGTTTTTGTGTTCTACTTATTTTTATTGTATTTGAGTTGATAGATATTTCTTGTTTGCCCTCTTGTGTCAGTCTCCTTTTCCCTAGCTCCCTTGCTGCCTCTGTTTACACCTGCTCCCAATCTGCTAATTAGCTCGGTCTTTGTTTCTCTCTGCCATATACTCTCCTCCTGTTCAGTCACTCTTTGCTGGTTTGTCACCCTTCTTGTTGTGATTATTCCTGGTTTTCAGCATTTTTGGATTGTGCGGATTTATGTTTTTGGATTTTTTCTTCTTTTACCCTTTTTGTTATTAAAATCTGCATGTAACCACCCTCACCTTTTTTGTCTGCATTGGGGTCCTCCTTCAAACCTCCACCCCATCGTGACATTCACTGAATCTTGTGTTCCCTCTTTTGTTACAGTTAGAGGCTAAAAAGGTATTGGATGTTTTCTGTTATAAATAAGCATTATCATTCCACATATGCATCTGGTTAAAGGTTAAGCTCCTAAGGGAATAGTTAGAAACAATAGATCTTAGTTTTTTTTTTTTATTAAATTAACCTATATTAAAGGAGGTCATTCCTGGATTCCTTGTTATTCATATGGGTTACCCATGCTTAAAAGAACATATGATGCAAAATGATAGATGGTATATTTCAATATGACAATCTCTCTGCTGGAAAGTGTCTAGTGTATGGGGTGAGCAGTGATTCAGGGTCCCAAAGTGAATTCTATTCTGTGAGCATGTGTTGGATCTTTAATAACATTCAGAGAGCCAGTACTTC